ATGGATGGATGGATGGATGGATGGATGGATGGATGGATGGATGGATGGATGGATGGATGGATGGATGGATGGATGGATGGATGGATGGATGGATGGATGGTAGATGGATAGATAGATGGATGGATGGATGGATGGATGGATGGATGGTAGATGGATAGATAGATGGATGGATGGATGGAAGTGGATGGATGGATGGATGGATAGATAGATGGATATATGGATGGATAGATGGATATATAGATGGATAGATGGATATGTAGATGGATAGATAGATGGATAGATGGATATATAGATGGATAGATGGATATGTAGATGGATAGATGGATAGATGGATATATAGATGGATAGATGGATATGTAGATGGATAGATGGATATATAGATGGATAGATGGATAGATAGATGGATAGATGGATATATAGATGGATAGATAGATGGATAGATGGATAGATAGATGGATAGATGCATATATAGATGAATAGATGGATAGATGGATATATAGATGGATATACAGATGGATAGATGGATGAATGAAGAAACCAGAGAGAGAAATGGTGGATTTGAAACAAGCAGTGTTAATGTGTTCAGTGTAGCTATTTCTGTATGAACACACACTGGGCCATTAACTGTGTAATGAACTAAAGGTGGAAGAGGGAATTCTGGACAGGTTTAGCTGGAATTTGAGACACACACACACACACACACACACACACACACACACACACACACACTGACTACCCTATAATGTCAAACTGCCTAATCCATGTCAAGTTTTGGGTTTTGTCTGTTACCACTGAGAGTGAAGACACTGTGTGAAATGACAAAATAGCAACTCATTTGATTATACTTGATTTTTATTTGTCATAAACCCATAAGTAGTGGTTTGAATTGTGGCGTATTTCAGGACACAGTGTTGAAGTGAATCTGTGAGTCTCATAACCTGGACATGCTGGTCTTCAACCTGCAGTTAACCTTCTGTCAGACACAGCACACACACGAGAGCTGGAGGACACTGATCATCCCCAGGCCACTGCGCTAAATGAGTTTGAGTCTGGATCTCCAGGGGCAGGTCGGGCGAGACCTCTTCTTCAATGTGCTCATTTCCACATTCAAACACAGATATCGCTCTCGCAGATTTGATTTGGCAATTATAGGCACAGCGCCGGAGGCATCGACTCCTATTGAGTTTCCGAAACTTGTCATAACACGCTTTTTACTGGCAGCGAGGTGACATCAGGTGGACTGAAGGAAGATATCAACCTTCAAATGTGAAGGAAACAGTATGTAACTGTTCAAGGGATGAACAAAGGGTTGGAGGAAGACAGAATGAGAAGTTAAAGTCACCATGAAATCACAATTGACAGTTTATTGCAGTGAATTATTGTCTTTCATCAAAATAATTCCCCCTCCCTCTTGCAGCTTCTCTTGTCTGATGATGTGGGCGGGGCAACCTGTCCCTCTCATGAGATCAGCCAATAGCAAACCACAACCCTCCAATCAATCACAATCAAGCCCCGCCCACATTTGTTCTCATTCCAAATGTGTTTCACTCAGATATACTTCACAATAGAGAAGAAAAGAAATTCCTCTAAAATTCCACAATGCACACACACACACACGAAAATATGCTGATGTTGATTTCCAAGTGTTTCCCTGACTATTAGCGTGAGTCATAAATGCACACAATCCTAGCAGAGCGAATTGGATTTCCTCAAGCAGGATGGCGAGAGAGAGAGAGAGACAGTCAATGGCATTGTAATTGCATTAGACTCTGACAGAGAGAAAACGCTCATTGTTGGTAAATTCGATTGCGCTTATGAGAACGTGTGGAAACATTCAGTCTTGCTATCTGGGAAAGTCCTACATATCAGTAGCTGTCAATCAAACGACTGACAGGGGTCAAAGGTCAACCCTGACCTGGGGTGCTGAGAAGGTACTTAAATACTTTCAAAAGGCTCCGGTTTTTCTGTGATGGGGCATCCAGAGCCCATCTGGATCTGATGAGATGAGACGGGTGGATACCAAAGACAGAGGTCAACCCTCGTCCACACCGGCCTTTCCTCTCACTCCGCTCCCGAGGATCTCCTTTCCCTCAACACAGCACTGAGAACGACACATGTGGCCTATTAGACAATAAAGACTCATTCAGTTCAGCCCACCAGGAGCGGCCTTTGAAACAGAGAAACACAGAGCGGTTGAGGGAAGGCAGAAAGAGGCGTTTGGCGGAGGATCAGAGCGATCTAAAGGAGAAATCACTCCCTTCTTCTTGGGAAGACATCCCACTGGCTCTTTTAGGGAATAATATACAGTATGCATTGAGAACCTTCTCCAAGGAAGAGGCCACAGCCGTTTGAACGGGGCCTCGGCTGTCTGGCTTCGTTTTCCGTTTCGAGGAATCCACTAGTATTGAAATAAAGCAGGTTTGGCAGATATTTCGTGGCCCATGATGCCAGGAGGGGGTCCAGAGCTCAGTCGGGAGTCTCGGGTAGACCGATTTTCCAATTCGTAGCGGCTCATATAAAAGCTCGCTTTCTTCCGGGCAGGAATAAATGTAATATGTCTGACGGACTAACTGCTAGTGCTCTGGATGACAGTATCACAGAGGTGTACCCATCAGGCATGTTCACACTAGATGTTAGAAGCATTGAATCATCTCTAAAAGTTAAAAGCAATAACTTTACACTAGAGCCAGACCGATATATCGGCAGACCGATATTATCGGCCGATATTAGGCATTTTCCAAACTATCGGTATCGGCAGTTATAATGGCCGATAAATGAATATTTAAAAAATAAAATAAAAACGGACGAAACACGATTCAACCATGTCATGAGTGTTGGAGTTGTATAGTTTGTCCACCAGAGGGCGCTCTACACCGTTCCTGTTGGCAACACTCGTCGAGTTGGTCACGATACATACATTGCTTGAATAACAATTAAAAGAACATCCCCATCAGTTCTCTTAACTCAAATAAATGACAAAATTTGTGATTATCATAATAAATAAGTAAAATATCGGCCGATATATCGGATTTTAAAACCCAAAAATATTTGTATCGGTATCGGCCTTCAAAATCCTTTATCGGTCGGGCTCTACTTTACACCTTGAATATTTACAACATCAAAACCCGCTTACATGCACGTTCTTCACCCGGTTCAGCTTCATAAGCCAATGATGCATGTGATCATGTAAACCCTGCTTTCCTTCATTGGAGTAAAGTCAAGCATAAACCGATCATCACATCTACTGGAGATTTTTGCCCCAGTGCGGATTTCGCCCTGTATGTAAACACATTAAAGGTGTAGCAGAAAAAAAAGATGTTTTTAAAAAATGTCCATGTCTATCTTTCTTCAGTCGAAATGAATGAAAACATTCCAGGATTTTTCGAACTCGTTCATCAAAATGAGCAAATCTTTTTTCATTCAACGAACAAAATGAACGAAATGACTCGGGAAAAGATTTGAAGAGTTCAGATGCAAAAGCCTCTAAATGCCATTTGAAATTTTCTTCTAAAATTATCATTTTTATCAAGCTTGTATATTTAAGTTCAGTAATTTCACTTAAATGGCACTGAAGATTACCTATTAATTGTCATTTAAGTGAAATTACTGAAATTAAATACACAAGCTTGATAAAAATGGTCATTTTAGAACAAAATTTAAAATGGCACTTAGAGGCTTTTGCATCTGAACTCTTCATTTGTTCATTTTGAGAACAGGAGAGTCACGAACGCGCGTCACAGAACAGAGCAAGGCAAGCATTTGAGCTTATAAAAACTTAAACTTTGTTATTTATTTATTAAATGAGCGATCGTTTCGCTTGATAAGACCCTTATTCATCGTCTGGAATCGTTTAAAGCCCTTTGAACAGTTTGCACTGAAACTGTCTTTTGGACCTTGAACCGTTTGGTTCCCATTGAAGTCCATTATATGGAGAAAATCCTGGAATGTTTTCATCAAAAACCTTCATTTTCAACTGAAGAAAGAAAGACGTGGACATCTTGGATGACATCGGGGTGAGTAAATTATCAGCAAAAGTTTTTTTTCTTTTTTTTCTAAAGTGAACTACTTTGAACTAAAGTGAACTACTACTATCCAGTTTTCTGTCTCTTATTGAAGTTCACGCGTCCTCACTGTGTGTTCAAGCGCATCCACACGGAGCGAGTGTTTCGCAGTAAAGGAGGAGGAAATATATCGCAAACTCAGACTCTTTCTAGAATGTAAAAATGATAAAAGTGCACAAGTTGTCGTATACAGTCAAAATGCTGCATGAGAGGAGAATATATGAGCCTTATAACACTTTATTTAACATCACAACCGACAGAACAAATGAAATATTCTGCGTCGGATACGCTAATTATTACATTTTGACTACCAGGATATAACCTGATTTATGATTTATAGACTTGAAAATGTGGCTATTGGTTTGTAAACGCGGACACCAGGTTATTATAATAAGCAGATTTCTGTGAGTTATCAGTGTGTTGGTGTGGATGTAAACGTGCTCATTGAAGACACAAATGTACACTGTAAAAATGAATATGCTTTATCTAATCAATAAAATTGTGGCAACAGATTACAAGCAATATTATTTATTAAATTAAACAAATTAGAATTGAGTAATAGTTAATCAAATTAGCATTCTAATTATTTTAATTTGTACAATTTAATTAATAATATTACACACCAACACACTGCATATTATTTAGTTTCAGTGAACTACAGTAAGGAACCAAATACTCCAGTGTGAAATTGAAGTTGAGTGTGTACAGCCATTCAATTCAATTCTCAGGTAACACTTTACTTGAAGGGGTGTGCACAAGACTGACATGACCTGACATATGCAATGAATATGAAGTAGGGTTTATGACAACTGTCATTAAGTGTCATTCGCTCAGTTATGACCGTTTTAATGCAAATATGACATGTCTTTGTTATGATGTCATTATGTTATCGTTTGTAGAGTTTGCGTCTAAAGCTCAAACGATGTTTCGTGTTTGCAGAATTCAAGCGAAGACGAGGGAGCTCCGAGAGCGACAGGCCAGAGAACGAGACTACGCTGAGATCCTGGACTTCAACCGAACCTTCAGCTCAGACGAGGAGCACACGTACGCTGGCATCGGCTCTCTGGACTCGTCTCTGGACAGCAGTCTGGATCTGAGCCATAACCCCGGTCAGGAGCGTCCTCAGAGTCCTCGGGACCTGCCCGTGCCCATCGAGGCGCTTTACGCTCAGGTCAACAAGCCCCGCAACGGACGCCAACCCTCCACAGACAGGTAAGATCTCCAAGACTTCATTCCTCAGGCATCGTGACGCACAGGCTATATCTGAGCGCTCGGCTGACATAACAGGACAAAAACATGTTCTTGACTTGAAGGACGCAACCTTGGGTGTATATTTCTAAAGCTTTGCATAATGCAACGCTGGCGTGTTTTCGGGCTGTCGTGAGCTGTCAAATATTTATGTTTGTTTGAGGTTGGATGGGGTGAAGGGCACCCTCACTTTTGAAGTTTCTTTTATTAAGAAAGGTTCTCTGCAGTCCTCTGACTAATAGAAGATGTTCTCCCTTTATATTTGTCTCCCTTTATACGTTTTAAAAATGAAAAGCTGCTTTCATCCGCTCTTTGTAGTGTGAAAAAAATGAAAGTCAAACAAACAGTGTTATCAGATTTCTCACCTGTGTCCCAGCGGCTGCTTTTATAGCACTGGTAAATCATTGATAATTCTCTGGATGGGAAGATTTAATAACCAGCAGCTCCTTTATTATCACGGATCATGTCAGATCCGCCAGCGTTCGCCTCGACGTGCACAGAATCTCTGGAAATTGTGAAAGGGAAAGAAAGTCGACTTTATACTACAAAAAAACATCATTTTTCCTTCCTGTGTTTACATATTTTCTATTGACCCTTGTGAAAGAGGAGTAAGCTCAATACTTTTACAATGAGTGGTAACTGTGGAAATATTATGCTTTAATAAATATACTTGCAGTTTTCTATGGAAGCTTGTTTCCTCCACAGAATGAAAAATAAAAAAAGGTAATTGCGCCTTTTTTTCTCACAATTGCGAGTTTACATCTCGCAATTCTGACTTCATTTCTCAGAATTGCGAGATATAAAGTCAGAATTACGAGATATAAAGTCAGAGTTGCGAGATATAAAGTCAGAATTGTGTGATATAAAGTCAGAATTACGAGATATAAAGTCAGAATTATGAGATATAAAGTCAGAATTGTGTGATATAAAGTCAGAATTACGAGATATAAAGTCAGAATTGTGTGATATAAAGTCAGAATTGTGATATAAAGTCAGAATTGCGAGATATAAAGTCAGAATTGTGTGATATAAAGTCAGAATTGTGTGATATAAAGTCAGAATTACGAGATATAAAGTCAGAAATGCGTGATATAAAGTAAGAATTGTGAGATATAAAGTCAGAATTACGAGATATAAAGTCAGAATTGCGAGATATAAAGTCAGAATTGAGAGATATAAAGTAAGAATTGTGTGATATGAAGTCCGAATTGTGTTATAAAGTCAGAATTACGAGATATAAAGTAAGAATTGTGTGATATGAAGTCCGAATTGTGTTATAAAGTCAGAATTACGAGATATAAAGTCAGAATTGTGTGATATAAAGTAAGAATTGTGAGATATAAAGTCAGAATTACGAAATATAAAGTCAGAATTGCGAGATATAAAGTCAGAATTACGAAATATAAAGTCAGAATTGCGAGATATAAAGTCAGAATTACGAAATATAAAGTCAGAATTGCAAGATATAAAGTCAGAATTACGAGATATAAAGTCAGAGTTACGAGATATAAAGTCAGAATTGTGTGATATAAAGTCAGAATTGTGTGATATAAAGTCAGAATTGTGTGATATAAAGTCAGAATTGTGTGATATAAAGTCAGAATTGTGTGATATAAAGTCAGAATTACGAGTTATAAAGTCAGAAATGCGTGATATAAAGTCAGAATTACGAGATATAAAGTCAGAATTGTGTGATATAAAGTCAGAATTGTGTGATATAAAGTCAGAATTACGAGTTATAAAGTCAGAATTGCGTGATATAAAGTCAGAATTACGAAATATAAAGTCAGAATTACGAGATATAAAGTCAGAATTGCGAGATATAAAGTCAGAATTGAGAGATATAAAGTAAGAATTGTGTGATATGAAGTCCGAATTGTGTTATAAAGTCAGAATTACGAGATATAAAGTCAGAATTGTGTGATATAAAGTCAGAATTGTGTGATATAAAGTCAGAATTACGAGTTATAAAGTCAGAAATGCGTGATATAAAGTAAGAATTGTGAGATATAAAGTCAGAATTACGAAATATAAAGTCAGAATTGCGAGATATAAAGTCAGAATTACGAAATATAAAGTCAGAATTGCAAGATATAAAGTCAGAATTGTGAGATTTAAACTATTCTGAGGGGGTAAAGTTAGTCTTTTTTTTTTCTCCCTTAGAATTGGCCTGATAAGTCGCAATTGTGAGTTTATATCTCACAATTCTGAGAAAAGATGTCAGAATTTCGACATATAAACTCGCAATTATGTGTTATAAAGTCAATTCTGACTTTATATCTCGCAATTGTAAGAAAAAAAAGCTGCAATTATTTTTTTCTTTTTTTATTCAGTGGCGGAAACAAGCTTCCATAGTTTTCGGACACAATTGCAATTAAATAAAAAAGTATTATAGTTTAAATTAATATCAAATGCAATTTGTTGAACTTTAGGATACTTTTCGACCCGGTTAAGTAGGACTTTTCATAATTACTTCTATTGTTTTTGCAATATGGTTAAAGTGTACTCCAGCGAATGTATTGACAAACATTTATGTGAACCAAAATACACTTGGATGTCATTTCTATTGAAACTTGTATGACATATATTTGATGTATTGCAATAAGTTGCAAATATATGACATTTAAATGTAATATTGAATAACACACCACAGTTCAAATGTATTTTTTCAGCACATCAAAACATTTGGACTTCTTTAAAGCATGGCAAAAGATTATTAAAACACAGATACTTGTTTTAATAAATGCAATTTAAAGTAAGACTTGATTTGACTATTTTATTAAAACTACACTCTAAAAAAATGCTGGGTTGTTTTAACCCAAATTTGGGTCAAATATGGACAAACCCAAATGTTGGGTTAAAAATGCAATTAAAAAATTTACAGTTGGAAGTTGGGTTAACATTTTAAATGACATTTTTAACCCAACATTTGGGTTTGTCCATACAGTATTTGACCCAAATTTGGGTTGAACAACCCAGCTTTGTTTAGAAGTGTGTTAAGTGGCCTTTTACTTCATTAATATTATGGCATATTACTAAATACCATTTTTTCAAATATACATTTAATGTTTTTTGACGTACACATTCATAATAAGTGCAACTCTTTTCCACAGTGAGAAACAGGAGGTTTGCGTTGGACAGACAAGTTTGAGTCTAAGAGCAGTTGTGAAGTTGTTTCAGCTTTATCCGTCGTGTGTGTCGATGCCGACTTCAGACACTGTATATTTGATGCTGGGGATCGACCAACATGTGTTGTGGTGAAATGAGAGTATTTTTTAGATATATAGAAGCAATATATCCCTCAGTTTCCGTTTGGCTGTTTTACAGTATTTATGACAAATAAACTGCCATCAGTGTATGAGCAAACAAAGGGGAAGTCATTCCAGCATTATTGCAGCGTTCACAACGAGGAATTACCACAATTGCTCTATTAATCTTGTGGTTATGAAATGGTTAGCGGTTAGTTATGGAAATGCTATGAGTGTCTCTTTCCTAAACAGTAATGACTCTCTGTGGGTTTATGGAGGCGCAGTAATTGGCCCGTCACCGGCAGTGCAGCAGAGGCAGTGATTGACATGTGTCACTCTGGGTGTGTGACCTTTCCCAGGGTGCAGTGGGAAGGGGATTATTATTACGTTGCCAACTGCTGTTCTCCCAGCAGGATCGTTCCCTTCCCCCCGACCGTCAGGAGATCACCCGCTTACACCCCCTGCGATCCGGACACAGTGTGAATATGACAAAGTTTAGTCATCTGGCTAATCCTCGTGCCAGTGTCTGTGGTGGCGGTGAAAGGCCAGCGCCGGTCCCCAGAGCCACGACTATTATTGGCAACACAAGCTGCATTCACGCATTTATTTATACTGACTGACTACTAGAGTATATTGCCATAATGTAAGGAGGCATTTCATTTATCCTAATACATACATATATATATATATATATATATATATGAAGAGTTCAGATGCAAAAGCCTCTAAATGCCATTTGAAATTTTCTTCTTTAATGATGATTTTTATCAAGCTTGTATATTTAAGTTCAGTAATTTCACTTAAATTGCATTGAGGATTACCTATTAATTATCATTTAAGTGAAATTACTGAACTTGAACATATAAGCTTGATAAAAATGATCATTTTAGAAGAAAATTTCAAATGGCGCTTAGAGGCTTTTGCATCTGAACTCGTCATATATATATATATATATATATATATATATATATTAGGGCTGTCAAATTGTTTGACGTTTGACTGCCCTAATATCGACAGCAATCGTTTGACAGCCCTAATATATATATATATATATATATAATGCTGGGTTGTTTGAAACATTGACAAACCAGACCGTTGATTTTAATTGTGTCAATTAACATTTTTAGTTTTTTTTCGTCCATATTTGACCCAAAAATAGTGTACACATTGGTTAGAATGAAATTATTTAAACAAGTATAAATAAATATTCATAATAATATTAAAATGTTCTTTATATTGTAAATTATTTACATATTATTTAGTATCATCACAACACCAACAGCAACATTAAGAACAACAACAATAATTATAATGATGCTAATTATAATAATAGGGTAGATTGTTTGATTATTTGTTTACTTATTTACCCTTACTAGGGTAAATTACATTAAATTACATTTAGGGTTAATTACAGGTAAATGTAGGGTAAATTACATTTTTAGGATTAAATAAACAACAACAACTACTATTAATGTTATTATTATTATTATATTTGCCAGTGACTATTTTATTAATGTATTTATTTATTTTGTTTAAATATTAATAAATCAGATGCCTGAATTATTATTATTATTATTATTAGTAGTAGTAGTAGTAGTAGTAGTATATTATAATAATTAGATAATAATAATTCTAAATAATAATTAATCAGATGCCTGAATTATTTTTAATATTATTATATTAGTGACTGTTTTATTTATTTATTTATTTATTTAT